AGCATGCATGAAGCCCTGGTTTGATTCCTCAGTACCACATAAACAGGAAAAGCTGGCAGGGGTGCTATAGCTCAAGTGGTAGAGTGCCCGCCTTGAGCAAAAGAAGCTCAGAGACAGTGCTCAGGCCCTGAGTTCAAGCCCCAGGACTGGCACACACACAAAAAAATTACATGAAGCCGGGCACTGGTGGCTCACACCTGTAATCCTAGCTACTCAGAAGGCTGAGATCTGAGGATCGAGGTTCAAAGCCAGCCCAGGCAAGAGAGACCATGAGACTCCTATCTCCAATAAACCATCAGAAAACCGGAAGTGGTGCTGGAGCTCAAGTGGTAGAGTGCTCGCCTTGAGCTGAAGAGCTGAGGGACAGCGCCCAGGCCCAGAGTTTAAGTCCCACGACTGACCAAAACAAAACAAAACAAAACAAAACAAACAAAAAAAATTACATGAAGCTTTCATTTCAGCTTCTTTATGCAGGAGGGATCACCAGATACCTTAATACAGTATTATAACCCTGATTCCAAAAGAAAAAAATGACAAGAAAAAAATGACAGTATCAGTGTCCCCACAGACACAGTTCTCAACAGCAACAAACTCCATCCTCACCACACAGAAATAATATATCATGACTTTTAGAAATACAGTTGTCTAACAACTAACGAACAAAAGCAAACTCATCGCAACAGTGAAAAATGTGGTTAACTCAACAGATACAGAAAAGGCATTTGAGAAAATTCAACTTCAAGGTAGGGATTATTTTCAGCATATCAGGAGAAGATGATGGCATTATTATTTCAAAAAGGCAAAGGCTCCATAAAAGCCAAAGTGTTCTAATGAAGAACCAGTTTGGACATCTGACTCAAGACTTGACACAACTACAGTTTAGTGAAAGGGGACGTAGCTTAGGGGCAGAATGCATCTCTTGAGCTTGTCAAGCGGTGCACCAGGTCCCTGGTGCCCCGGGCACCTCAAAAACCCAAACCAAAACAAGCTACAGTTGACAAGATTAGGTTCAGGCTACTGACCTAAAGAACAGAAAGAAGGGCATTGGGAATCAGTCTCCCCTTCCCCCCCCCCCAGCTGATTTTCCTTTCCCAAAGGTCCATGGTAAGTCGAGAAAACCCTTATACTTCATTCATACTGAACACACACACACACACACACACACACACACACACACACACACACACACACACACACACACACACACACACACACACACTCAGGATGGATCTGACTCAAAACATACAAGCCCAAACTGTAATTCTCCTTAAAACAAACAGAAAATTATCTTTAAAACCTTTTGAGACCCAGACTCCCACAAGGGGATCTGCTTCTTCAGACATCTCTTAACATGTACAAACTGGATTCCAGCAAGACGGAAACATCTGGCCCTGCACTGGCGGTTCCTGCAATCCTACTCAGGAGATCTGAGGATCAAAGTTCAAAGCCAGCCCAGGCAGGAAAGTCTCCAATTAACTACCAGAAAACCACAAGTGGCAGTGGGCCACAAAGTGGCAGAGCTCTAGCCTTCAGCAAAAGGGCTCAGGGACTGTGTGCCTAGGACCAGGGTTCATGCCCCATGACTAGAAGAAAAAAAAATTTACCATGATGAAATTTCTAATACAACAATATGCAAGAAAAGAAAAGAAAGTAACATGAAAGCAAAGCAGGCTGTTTGGAAAGCAGGTATGGGGAGGGGCAGTGGAGAGGGTGAATCTGTCTGAGCTCATTATGTTATGAAAATAGAATGAAGAACCATGTGGAAGTTAAGGAGGGGAAGAGGAGGTTGATTTCGAAACATTGTATATACTTGTAGAGCTGTCACAATGAAACCTCCTCTCCAACAAAACTAAAGTATGCTAATAAACTAGCAGCAAGAAGTATGATTGACAAAACTATATATTCATATATATTTAGAAAAGAAAAAGGCTAAGAAATGTTTTAACCACTAAAAGACACTATCCTATTAAGAAAAAGAAAATAGGGGCTGGGAAGGTGGTTCAGTGGTAGAGCGCTTGCCTTGCATGCATGAGGCCCTGGGTTCGATTCCTCAGCACCACAGAAGCAAAAAGAAAAAAGCCAGAAGTGGCGCTGTGGCTCAAGTGGCAGAGCGCTAGCCTTGAGCTGAAGAACTGAGGGACAGCGCCCAGGCCCCACAACCAGACCCAAAAAAAGAAAAAGAAAAATAGCATTCTTCAGACTGGAAGGAAAAATTCCAACATACTATTTATTGAAATAAACTCCAGGAAATGGAAACATTTTTTTGTTGTTGTTCTTGTTGGTGGTGGTATTCATTCTTTGTTTTTCTTTTAGGTGGGACACACAGGGGTACAGAAATTGAAGGGGGGAAGGGTGAACAAAAATGCAGCATAGTATTCAGTACATCCTATCTGGAAAATGACCTAGGTAACTTGTGTAAGCATTATGCCCACCTTTGGTCCTCAGCTCCACCCAGACCTGAGCTCTTCCTGCCCTGGAGTTCCTGCCATACAGCTGGCCCCTCCCTCTCTCCGCCCAGACCCACCTAAACTCCCACCTACCTCAGGTCCTACCCCTCTGACCCCACTGCCACCTAGATAGTGGAGCTCCAGAAGAAATATGGTTCCTCTAATAAACCTTGTAATAATCTTTCTCCTGTGCCTGCCTGCCTCCACCCGGTCCCCTGGGATGGATGTGACGGATCCTTTCAACTTGTGGACAGGGAGGGGAAAACTGGGGAAAAGTGAAGGAACTTAACACTGTTCAAAAACAAATGTACTGGGGCTGGGAAGGTGGCTCAGTGGTAGAGTGCTTGCCTTGCATGCCAGAGGCCCTGGGTTCGATTCCTCAGCACCACATAAGAAAAAAAAAGCCGGAAGTGGTGCTGTGGCTCAAGTGGTAGAGCGCTAACCTTGAGCTGAAGAGCTGAGGGACAGCACCCAGGCCCAGAGTTCAGGCCCCATGACCGGACCAAAAAAAAAAAAAAACAAACAAATGTACTCATGACCTGACTTAAGAAATTATAAACCCCCTATATAACAACACCTTAATAATGGCAATAAAACTGCATTAAAAGTAAAATGATGGGGCTGGGAAGTTGGCTCAGTGGTAGAGTGCTTGCCTTGCATGCATGAAGCCCTGGGTTCGATTCCTCAGCACCATAAGCAGAAAAAGCCTGAAGTGGCGCTGTAGTTCAAGTGGTAGGTGGTGCACTAGCTTTGAGCTAAAGACCTGAGGGATGGTGCCCAGACCCAGAGTTCAGGCCCCACGACCAACAAAATAAATAAATTAATTAATAAACTTAATTAAGTAGATAATGTTCAATAGGAAAAAGAAAAGAAAAGAGGGAGGGAGGGAAGGAGGGAGGGAGGGAGGGAGGGAGGGAGGGAGGGAGAGATCCCAACATAGAGGCTTGCACTTAGGATCTGCTAAGTGCTCCTACAAATCAACAGAAGGAGGAACATCCAGACGGTTCACTAGGAAGAAGAGAACACTAACACATGAATGTAATGTGAATCTAAGCATAAGGAAAGATGTTTGTCAATTACCAACAAAATTAAAAACCGAAGGCTGGAATTAAGGTTCAGAGCACCCGCTGGCAAGCATGAAGCCCTCAGTTCAACCCCCACTAAATAATAATAATAACCATGATAAATTGGAACACATCCACTAAAACAGCAACAATCAGAGCAGACTGGCCATATCAGGTGCCAGTGATAGTGTTAGAGCCACCGAAACTCTGCAAGTTCAAGCCCCAGCCCTGGCAGAATAAGAAGAAAAAAAATAACCTCCAGGAAATGGAAAAATTAAAAACAAAAAGTTTCTGCTTTTTTGCTGGGACTATTGGCTCAAGCTTATAATTCTAGCTACCTCAGGAGATCATAGTTGGAGATAGCCTGGGCAGGAAAGTCTGTGAGACTCTTGTCTCCAATTAACCACCAAAAAACTGGACATAGAGCTGTGGCTCAAGTGGTAGGGTGTTACCCTTGAGCACAGAACCCTGCCCCAGGAGTTCCAGGCCCAGGACCACAACACACATACAAAATAGGTCTTGCTTTTGACTCGGGTCTTCTTGATTCTTCTGCTAAGGCAATATCAGCAAAAAGAGAAAGGGAAAGAGGAACTGCTTTGAGATGAGGAAGGATTTTTGAACAGAAAAATTGTGCCTTAACTGATTAAGCCTCATCTCAGACTGTTCAAAGAACAGAGGGTAGTTTTGGGGGTTTTGGAGATTGCATTTAAGGTCACCTTATGTAAATATACCTTACCCTCCTCAAATTAACCAATCACAAGCAGACTGTGAACCTGAGCTCAACCAATCCAAGCAGAGGGGCAGGGCCTCCTGTGTCAGGGATAAATAGGGAGCAGCCTGCCTGCTCCAGAGTTTGCTTGCCAGATTTCTAGCTGATGGCACACTCTTTGGTGCAGAAGTTCTGTATCTTGTGCCTGAGACAATTCTTTGTCTCTATGTCTATTGTTGTGATTCTGGCGTCTCCTGGGAAAGTGTATGTCCACCAGAAAAATGAACAAAAATATAAATAGCAGATCTACATACAAAGATACCAGTCTAAATCACCTAAGTGCATATAAGGAAAATAGAACATTAAACTAGGAAACATAGAATAAAATATTTCTTAGTAATAAAAAATAAGTTTACAATAGGTAGGTTTCCAAAAAATAAGGCCAAATAAAATAAGTGAGATCCAAAGAGGCACTGTTCACTGCTTAGTTTCTACGAACAAGAAAATAATTCATGGTGACAGAAATCAGAACCCAGTGTGACTTTGGGGACAGGGAAGTGTCTGGAAGAGGACAGTAGGTAGACACACCTGTCAACCTCACTGAGCAGAACTGACAGTGTATTTCACTGTACGAAAATTACACCTCATTACAAAAACATTTTTCCATAAACAAATGCAACTGAAACTGGGAGAAAAGTTAAGGATGCGCCCAGCATTATTTTTTTGTGTTCTCAGACCACCCACATAAATCAAACACTAAAGAAAGATGGGATTGAGTACCTGTTAACTCTCCTTGGGCATTTCTCTGGCTTGATATCCAATTCATAGTGATAGATGTCAATTTTGGGGATGTCCATTTCAAAGAAGTTGGCCTGTAGTTTGATTGTTCTTCCCGAGGTCCCGAAGTCGGGCCGCGGTGGAGGCTTGAAGGCATATCCTGGGATAGGTGTTGCTGAAGGGGCAGGAGAGGCAAGCACTGCGTGAAGAGGGAGAAGTCCATTAGAAGGAGGGCAGATTTGTTCTTTGGTGCTCTAACACAGCGCCTACCCCTCCCCTGGGAGTCAGCCACACTCAGCCCAGGGCTTCTAACAGTTCCTCCCACTCTTCCCTCTCTGCTTCTATTTGCTCCTTCTAGAAACAGAAAGCCCCCCTCCCGCTCCCCCTTCCCCCCATGCCAGCAGCTCAAGGGACCCTGGAGTGTAGCTCGGATGCAACACTGCAAGCCCCTCTTTTCCAAAGGCTCTCAGTGTCCTCTCCCGGCTTGTCCGTCCCTGTGCTGGGATTCCTCTGCCCGGACTCCTTTGCATCTCGTTGGAGGCTCGGGGATTGGCACCGCAGTGGTCAGCAGCTGCTCCCCCTCCCCCACCTCACTCTTCTCACCAGGGCCCATCCCTTCTGTCCACTCCTCTGCCTGACCCAGTTGGCAGGGGGCATTTTACCCTGTGGACCTGGAACGGGTTTGGGTCTGTTTCTAGGCACCGGCCTCTGGCCTGCTCACCAGGGTCCCTGCCAGCCTCCCAACCTGGTCTCAGGCTAACAGAGCCTCCCTAGCCGGCAGAGCCGACCTTTCCTACAATGCGTCCCCGCCCGGCCCTCCCACCCACAATCCCTGCCGGCCCTGCTGTCACCACACTTGCCATCCACCTCCCCAGGGGTGAAGAGTCGCCAAGGGAGGCCAGGGAGCATTTCATCAGCCCCTTCCACCAACACTCAAGGAAGTTCTCACAGGCAGAGCGGGCTCCCAAAGTCACTCAGAAAGCACCATCTTAATGACCAGAGTCACCCAAGTCCAGCTGTGACACAGGCCAATGTGCTGGGCCCTTGGGAGCACTGCCCCTCCACCCCGGAAACCATACCTCCAACCCCACATCTCTACGGGGGGGGGGGTCATGGAAGCACCCCCCACTGTCAACTAAACACATCAGAGCAAGCCCTGGGCCACCACATCCCCAGTGGGAACCTAGGGGAGAGACAGGCGTGAGCCCCAGGTCCAAATCCCCAAGTCAAGGCCATGCCCCCGGCTGCTACCCGAACTGCAGACTCAATGCTTTCTACAACAGTCCCGGAAACACCAAGACGATCCCAACTTCCAGGAATTCCCGCATTAGTAGAGTAGAAGCTGTGAATTTAGATAAAGAGTTAAATACTTGTTTGATAATAAACTACTTTTAATCTTTAATCAAATTTGGTTCAAAACAAAATTAAAAGTCCAAGGCTGGGGACAGAGATCAGATGGTAAGCACTTGCCTCGCAAGCCGAAGCCTTGTGTTCAACCTCAAATCCAGGGAAAAAAACTCCATGTACTTCATCCCACTTGACATTCGCTAGGAAAAGCCTTGCTAAACACAGCCAAAAGCCACGCTCCTGGAAGGCCAGGGTGGCCCTGGCTGTGCTACGTGTTTGGTTTTCTAAGAGAAAATGAAATGTGTTCAATAGTGGTGGATCTCAGCTTCATTCAGGTCTCTCCTCAACCACCTGCCTTCACAAACGGCACAGCAGACCAGCCATGCGTGCTCCCTCCACAGCCTGCCCCACCCCTTCAGAGCTGGGGTGGCCAGAGAAGAGACTCCACAATGTGCTTGACCCCAAAAGGCTCCACGCTGTCACCCTTGGCAGGCAGGCCACGCTCCGTCCTTCCCACCACCATCCATCCAGATGGGCTCCGCAACTCTGTCTTTCCCTTCAGCACCCAGAAGGGCAGAGCAAAGAGCCCACCACACAGACAGACACACAGACAGACACCTGGGCCTGCCTGCGTGTGGCCTACACCTGTCCTACCAAAGTAAGCTCAGGTCAAGACAAACACGAGAATCCACTCATCACCTGACTTAGGACACGGTAACCCCTCTGCACAACACTTTAATACAAACTACACACACACTCACTATGACAAGACAGCCTGGCACTGGTGGCTCACGCCTGTCATCCTAGCTACTTAGGAAGCTGAGATCTGAGGATTGTAGGGCAAAGCCAGCCTGGGCAGGAAAAGTCCATGGGACTCTTAACTCCAATTAATTGGCAAAAAAAAAAAAATCTGGAAATACAGCTTGTGGCTCAAGAGGTAGAGGGCCAGCCTTGAGAGAGGAAAAAAAAGCCAAGAAAGAGTACAAGGCCCCGAGTTCAAGCCTCAGTACAGCAATCCCCCTCGCCAAACAAGTAAAACCAGTCAAGTCACAGTTATGGTGGGGGTGTCCCAAGAAACTCCCAGGCTTGTGCCCCCCACATAGAAGAGATAAACACCCTTTATCGGACAGGTTCCAGTTTACAAAACACCACATTACCAATCTGAATCTCAACAGCCAAGGGCAAAGGCTTCACTGCCAAAAGTGGGCCTCTCGTGGCAGCCTAGGCCCTGCTCCACCCAGGATTTCATGCCCCTGCATGGCTACCGTGGGACCAGACCCCGGAGGGGCGGCGCTGCCCTCTGCATTTGTCCGCGTGCACACGCGTGTGCGCACCCTCTGCTTGGCGCTCCTCCCCAAGCGGGATCCCCGCAGGCAGATTCTCCAGGCCCACACCCAGCACGGTGCCAGGGGCAGAGCAGGCGCCCGCCGAGTGTTTGCCCACACGCCGGTCACGGAGCACATTTTGTTTAAGGTTCCATTTTTGGAGCCACATCTCAAACAGAAAAAGGAAGTAGAGAGTGAGTAATGACTTCCTGTGTGAGCAACTGCCTGAGGGGCAGCCTGGTACACACGGCACAAGCGAAAACCAAAAGTCCTGGTGTTTGAAGCAGATGCCAAGAGTGGCGGCTGTGAGCAAGCCTCGGCCGGGAAGCCGCCCCCAGGGGGGTCTCCCCACAGCTCAGCACTGCTGTGGCTCTGCTTCAGCCTTTCCTCTAAAGGAGGGGCCAGGACAATGACATGGGGACCAGTATCCTCCAGAGGGGACCCCATGCTGTCAGCAGGTCTCAGGGGTCCCGGGGAGCCACGCGCATGTGTTTGACTACCACAGGACACCCAGGCCCCCAGTACGGGGGGCTCCCCCTCTAGAGTGCTTCTAGAGGGCCCACAGCTAACCGGGTGGGTGGACATCCATCCCCACCGAGTCCCCCTGGGGGTGTCCCACTAGTGGAGTGGATTTCAGCAAGACCAGGGCCAGGTATCTGCCGTTCTTTTTTTTTTTTTTTGGTCAGTCATAGGGCCTGAACTCTGGGTCTGGGTGCTGTGCCTCAGCTCCTCAGCTCAAGATGAGTGCCTACCACTTGAGCCACAGCAATTTTGGGGATGTCCATTTCAAAGAAGTTGGCCTGTAGTTTGATTGTTCTTCCCGAGGGCCCGAAGTCGGGCCGCGGTGGAGGCTTGAAGGCATATCCTGGGATAGGTGTTGCTGAAGGGGCAGGAGAGGCAAGCACTGCGTGAAGAGGGAGAAGTCTTTTTCTGTTTATGTGGTCCTGAGGAATCGAACCCAGGGCCTCAAGCATGCAAGGCAAGCACTCTACCACTGAGCCACCTTCCCAGCCCCGCCTCCCCTTTTTTTGGTCATGGGTCTTGAACTCTGGGCCTAGGTGCTGTACCTCAGCTCTTCAAGCTCAAGGCAAGCGCTCAACTGCTTGAGCCACAGCACAACTCCAGTTTTCTGGTGGTTAACTGGAGGTAAGAGTCTCACAGATTTTCTTTGCCCGGGCTGGCTTTGAACTGTGATCCTCAGATCTCAGCCTCCTGAGCAGCCACCAGCACCCAGCTGATCTGCCTGCTCTTAAGCAGTTTTCAGGCCCCTGGGAAGAGATGCTCCTACAGAAAACGGTGGCTCAGTACACGCAGCACAAGTTAGAACCACATGCACCCCTTCCTCCTGTGGGGACCTGGGAGGTCCAGCAGGGTGAGAGCATCCACGGTGCAGGTAGCACCGGAGGGGTGGAACACACCTTGGGATGAATAGCGGGAGGCCCAGCAGGCGTGAGAGCATCCAGCTCACCCCCCCAAGGCAGTCAGGCACGGTGGGTCCCCCCTACCTACCCCCGCAGCCCACTGCAGGAGGATCATCGGTGCCCAGCATCCCCACTCAGGGCTCTGAACAGAGAAGCCATGCCATGGGTCCTCCCACGACGCAGTCCCCCCACTACGGCACCCTACCCGGCTCAGGCCGCAGCTGGGTCTTCCCAGCCAGCCCCACGGGCAGTGCCAGCAAGGGAGAGGGAAGAGGTGGCTGCAGAGACTATCGCTTCTTCACCGCCGTGAAGTCTTTAGCCCACTTGTTCATGGGGCAGTGGTTTCTGTGGGGATTTGTGTTGGGGGATTTAGTTCTTTGAGTTCTAGGTATATTTTAGATATGAGGCCCTTGTCTGTTGTATGGCCAGAGAAGATCTTCTCCCCGTCTGTGGGTTATTTATCTTGCTAGCTATGTCCTTTGCCATGCAGAAGCTCTGCAGTTTAATGCAGTCCCATTTTCCCAGGCTTTCTTTGATTTGTTGTGATTCTGGGTCTTTATTAAGTAGGTTTGAACTGTGCCAAGGAACCCTAGTGTTTGCCCTATTCCTTCCTGTAATATTTTGGGGGTATCTGCTTTTATCTGGAGGAAGCAAGGAAGTGTATCAATATGAACTCCAGGAATCGGAAACAAGAGGTTCTTACTATGTAGTGTATATAGTTATTTCTCCCCCCCCCCTCCCGTTTTCTGTACCTTGTGTCTTGTATATTAGTTTATTTGATCAGGGGGAGGGAAAGGGAATCACAGAAACAGCAGGACAAAGGATGAACTAATGCAACATTGATACTCAGTTGACACTATGTTGGAAATGAACTTCACAACTTGGCGGGGGAGGGGAGTAGGGAGGGGAAAGCAGGAGAAAGTGAGGGATGGGGTAACAGTGTTTAAAGACAAATGCCCTCACTGCCTTACTTATGTAACTGGAACCCCCCATGCTCATCACCTTTTCAATAAAGATTAAAAACAAAAAAAGCCATTGCAGAAACCAGTGGAGGAAAGCAGCATGCCCAGACACCATGCTGAGAGGCAATCCTTGCAAGATGCCCCTATACAATGCCCT